AATGAAAATGTATAAAACCTCCGGTAGCAGTTTCTTGTTGCATTTTTAAAATTTTATAAAGCACATTGAATAATGTACCAGAAGTTTTAAAAAGCAGGAAGAGGACTAGACGGCATTCAGTTAATAGAAGAAAGTCAAAGGGGAACGTGGAAGTTCTCAAGATCTTGTCCTACAAGGAAAAGAGCTTGCAACTCTCAATCCATCTTGATCGATTTGAGTTCTCATCTGGTATTTCAACAAAACCGAACTGAAAAGGCGATCTTTTCTCTCGGGAACTACTGTTACTTTCTGGTTCCTGACATTAGCACACAATACAGGTAGTCCTCGACTTATGACCACAACTGAGCCCAAAATTTCTGTTGCTAAGAGAGATAGTTGTTAAGTGAACTTTGCCTCATTTTACCATCTTTCTTGCTACAGTTGTTAAATGAATCACTGCAGTTGTTAAGTTAGGAACACGGTTGTTAAGTGAATCTGGCTTCCTCCATTTGACTTTGCTTGTCGCAAAAGAGGATCAAGTGACCCCGGGATATGGCAGCTGTCATTCATACATGGAGTAGATATATGCTTAGCTACTTGCTATCTGAATGTATTCATTGGCAACGTTCACCCCATACTTTTAACCAGGTTAGTTAAAGAACCTAGTTTATGCCACATGCTATTCTTGGTTAGTGTTGGCTATAGATAAGGATTCGGAAGATGGGTTAGCATGCTGCGTGTATCTACAAAATACATTATAATAATATAATACATTATAATAATATAATACAGTATAATGTCTTAAAACATGTATTTTGTGGACACACGCAACATGCCAAGCCACCTTCCAAATCCTTATCTATATCCAACTAGTGGAATAGCATGTGGCATAAACTAGTGGAATAGCATGTGGCATAAACTAGGTATTTTATTTATTATTATGCCATCATATCATATCATGAAAATAGAATTACAATGTGTTATAAAAAGTCCCAAACAGGTTATTTATAATGCACCAATATTTTATTATTATTATTATTATTATTATTATTATTATTATTATTATTATTATTATTATTATTATTACTATGTATTATATTGTTTTACATTATAAAAATATCATTCTAATGGGTTATAAAGGTTGCCAAATAGGTTAATTCAGGAACCAGAGTCCATCTTATATGAATGTAGCCTTTAAAAGTCAATCCTCGTACTACCGGTACATAATCCATATATAGCATAGACGTATAAGCTGATTTAGGCAACTTCTGTCTTTTGCAAAGCAGAAAGAAAACTAGACAGGAAAATCCCAAGTACAACTAAAAGACCGAGTGTACTCAGCAAGCAGAAGAGCTGATGGGGAAAAAAATGCAAAAGGGGAGAGAAATGTGTGTGTGTGTGTGTGTGTGTGTGTGTTCTGCCTCTCTGTGTTGAAAAGAACACCCTTTATCTAAGTCCTTTTGTGGTGGGTCACAAGGCAGTGGTCCCAAAAGGAAGCCAGGTTTGACCTCAGAGTCACAGACTTGCAAAAAAAATGGGCTTCTTCTAACAGTTTATGGTTAGGCAGAACACTTTTACCGCTTTGGTTTCTTAAAAAGGAGACAGCACGACATGAAATAAAGCTCGGCACCGAACAAATTTTTCTGACTTAGGTATGCAGTGCAATCCATAAAGTATTTAATGTAGGAACTGTTGCCCGAAGCTATCAATGCATTCTCTCAGTCAAAAAAAAGAAAAGAAAAAAAAGAGCAATTGTTTTATGAAGTGCAGTCTAAAGCGTCAGGCAGGGCTGCCTTTCTCCCCACCCACCCCCTTTTTTTATCCCCACGTGCTAATAGACCATTTATACCAATACATTTTTTCTTTCTTTTCGCCACTGACATACTAATCAATATTACTAATCTCCCTAACAGGAGAGCTAAATTTTGCACGGCAGCCATAATGATCGGCAGTCTGGAGATGAATCTAGAGTTCACCAGGGTCAGAAAAAGTGCAATCGGAGGAGAGAAAAGCTCAACTGGTCAGTTCTCCTCCCGTCTCACAGTCTTTATTCAATTTAAACTAATTTACAGATTTGCACAAATGCAAAGAAATACACACACACACACACACACACACACACACTGCTTCTAGCTGCTGCTTCCCCCCAAAAGGGTGTGTGTGTTAGTCTTTAAGGCCTCTTAACTAACAGTTTTTATATTATTAATAATAATAATAATAATAATAATAATAATAATAATAATAATAATAATAATAATAATAAAGTTGGAAGGGACCTTGGAGGTCATCTAGTCCAACCCCCTGCTCAGGCAGGAAACCCTACACCATTTCAGACAAATGGCTGCCCAGTCTCTTCTTAAAAACTTCCAGTGTTGGAGCATTCACCGCTTCTGGAGGCAGGTGGTTCCACTGGTTAATTGTTCTAACTGTCAGGAAGTTTCTCCTTAGTTCTAGGTTGCTTCTCTCCTTGATCAGTTTCCACCCGTTGCTTCTTGTCCTGCCTTCAGGCGCTTTGGAGAATAGCTTGACTCCCTCTTCTTTGGGGCAGCCCCTGAGATATTGGAAGACTGCTATCATGTCCCCCCTCGTCCTTCTCTTCATTAAACTAGACATACCCAATTTCTGCAACCGTTCCTCATATGTTTTAGCCTCCAGTCCTCTAATCATCTTTGTTGCTCTTCTCTGCTCTCTTTCCAGAGTCTCGGAACATGTTTTTTATATTGTGGTGACCAAACCTAGATGCAGATCAGACCGGTTGATCTCCCCTCCATCCATGTTAACAATGTTTGAGCTACAGTTTTAACCATGGACAGGATCCCTCTGCCCTCCAAAATACATCCACATTTTTCATCCCAACGGTTTTAAGTTATCATAGCAGCCTGTTTAAAGTTTAGGGTATCTAAGAGAAATGTATTTTATATTATTTCGCTAGAAAGAGACTCTGGTAAATTGCATTTCCAAAAAAACATCCTTACGCTTGTAGGGAACTCCTCCCTGCTTCTGGAGGCAGGTTGATCCTGGCGCTTCCGCTGAGCCCTGACAGCCCTGCAGCTCCAGCCGTCTCTCACTCAGGCTTGTGCGGTGCTGCCACTGGTTCAGCTCATTCCCCTCCCCCACTACTTTTCTAGGATGATCGATGATCGCGTACCACCTGCCAGGTGCCAATGTACCACAGGTGGTACCTGTACTGCTGGTTGAAAAGCCCTGCCTTATGTGAAGCAAGAAAAGCCAAATTTCACCCAAGTATCATCATTAATCCTCCCAACTCATGCAAACTGATATATGCCAATGAAAACCAATAAGGAGAACAAATTGGTTTGCAAATTAGCTGGTAAATTTATATTCCTTTTTGGGGGGGCCTTCTCTTTGTTCATATTCCTGGAAAGGACTCTGAAGACTTGATCATTCTTTGACAGATAATTTTATTTATATATCTGCTACCAAAATTTGTCCCGTGATTTTTTTTGAAGTCTTTGTCAGTTAACTGAGAAATGTACGTATTCCAAAAATCTTCACCTAAAAGCACTCTGTTAACTCCTGCACAGATCTGATAAAAAGAAAAGCCGTGTTTGGAGATATTGTGCGCTTTGTTGTAACATTTTTCAAAAGGAAGAGTGAAACCAATCGGTTAATTTTACGGTTGCAAAAAAGAAAATTGCCTGCCATTTAATTCCAAACTTTTAAATTTATCTTTGGTCCTTTTCATTAAAACTGCTCTGAAGAAACTGCTAAGGCAATTTTATGCAATTAGTTATATTTATACACTTCCATAATGCACACTTAAAAATAACATGCAACTAATTTAGAGTTTAAAAGGTTTATCAGTTCTAATTTTTTTTTTTAACTTGCTTTCAGGCTGGATCCAGTCACAACAAAATTTTCAGTGCTCCATTTCTGACATAAACATCCCTTTGCATGTAGGTGAATCACACAGACTGTAAAAATTACACCTTTCAGCATCTATTTGATGAAAACTGGCATTTTTTTCCCCAGAGAGTCAGGTCCAGTTGCAAGAATCATGGTTGGCTTCTTTTGCTAATAAACTGCGTAAGCCTTAACTTCCTCAAGTATCTCTTAGAAAATGTATTTCATACCATCTGCAGGCAGTGGACTTAGCTTTATGTAGGGGGATGAGGGTTTGTTTTGTTTCTTTTTGCAGTTTCTCTGAAGCTTTAAGGTGCACAAATCACAAACAGAGGAACACAAAGGAACCTGTTGTTTAATGCAAACCCGTTTATTAGTTCAGTGACGCTGTGCTAAAATCTGCCTTGGAGTTCACAGAAGTTTCCTTTCCTTTCTGTTTTCTAGTTTATCTTCAAAGAGCTTGCTAACTCCTTTGCAATTTACCTCGGCAGTGCTTCTGAATGTGAGGTTTTCTCTTGAGATTTAACTGATCTGGGGGAAAATGTTTTCTTTTTTTTTTTTGTAATGCGAAAACAAACTTTCATATCTGCCCCTCAGCTGCTTTTTAAATAAATAAGTGCAAAACACTGCAGAATGGAATGGAATTAAAATGTATGACAGTCAAGGAACCATGTAATAAAACATTGGATATCCAGCTAAATAAGAGTGAAAGACTTGAATTCCAAAAATGACAAGTGGATCAAACTCTGGAAGGAAATGGGAAGGGGAAGCGGAAGGGGAAAGGAGGAAGGAAGGAAGGAAGGAAGGAAGGAAGGAAGGAAGGAAGGAGAAAGCGTATCAAAAGAGAGAAAAAGTGTCCCCATCCACCCTTGGGTCTGGTCCCACCCACTGCTTTTGTTATCTCTAACATGCCCCCCATCAAATAATACATGAAGAAATGAGTCCTTGACGCAAAGGAGTATATGCACCCAACAGTATAACTATCCGAGAGAACTAATGCAGGATAGAATCATGTATCTCAACTAAGCTGAGGCCATAAAACTCCTAAAACATCCTTGCAGTGACATGAACACAAGGGAACAGATGCAGTTCAATAACCACCACGATTACCATATTGTATATTTTTTGACACTGCAGTCATCCGAGTGAATTCCTACCTCGTGGGCTGTGAAGAGCTGCTTCGGACGCCCGTCCTCCATCACCACAGTGACTTTGATCAAACGGCAGGCACTGATCCCCAGTACCTGCCACCACCTCATAATTTTTGGCCAAATCCTTGGTTTCACTGAGAGATTTCACCTTGTAGACCCTCCTGGTGTTTGTATCTGACAAATAAAGGGATTCCGAGGCTGGATCCATGGCAAGATAATATTTGTGTGCTGGACTAGTGCTGAAGAACAGAAAAGGAGAAAGGCAGGATAAAAATAAGCGACAATGAAGCAATCTTCATCTGTTCTCCAATCTGTCTCAAATTGCTACGTTATTCTGATTTCTTTTAAGAAGTGATCATTTTTAGGCAAGTGGCATAGTTCAAGATAAAATGCATATCCCATATAAAAGCCATTATCTGCCCCATGCAAAACATTCACAATGCACATGGAAAAACCTGGGTAACAATCTATTTTTCCTGCAAATCATCACCCCTATATAATATTAGGGAGTGAAAATTCGGGAATCCTTGAAATAACTAGATAAAGTTACTAGCGCTTCATTGCCCTTAGGCTAAAAGAAGTTTGTTATTGTTGTTTGGTAAAATCAGAAATATGGGCTGGGATCAGAAGAAGCCTAGTTCCATGGAAAGTAATGTAACAGCAAGAGAAGGAAAAATGCTTTCGGCCGTGCAATATTTCATTATTCTAACTTTATAATAAAGGTAGTTTTAGTGACTTCTGATCTTGGTTTCTTGCCTGGACTACCTCGAAGATCTGATAGTGATTTAATTAATGAAACTTCATTGCATTCTCAAAATGTATGTGGTCATGTAACACTTATGATCTGGACTTGGCCTGTAATAAAGTGTTCATTGGTATATCGACATCACCAGAAAGGATAATACCTGATCTGGTGTAACCTCCCCATCACAAGACCCATCACAAGCACTTCACTGATGACTGACACCTGACCCATCACAAGAACCTCACTTGGTTCACCCACACCTGAAGCCCTTATAAACAGAAGAACATGGACACTGACATCCTCTAAACTCCGTTGAAGATGTTGCCTAGCCTGGTAACACAATGTTTGGAAACCAACCCACAAGCTCGGAGAACGCACCTTCACCCTCATCCTATACCCAAGCTATAGATATTCGCCACTATTGCGAGGATAATACCCTTTTATATTACACTAGCGAGACCACATTTGCAGCACTGCATACAGTTCTGTTCACCATGATACAACAAAGATGCTAAGACCTTAGAAAAAGTACAGAGAAGAGAAACAAAGATGATAAGGGGCTGGGAGGCTAAACCGTATGATGAATGGTTAAGGGAGCTAGGTATGTCCAGTCCAGCAAAGAGAAAGATTAGGGATGACATGATAGCTGTCTTTCAGTACCTGAGGTGCTATCACATTTATTCTTCAAAGCACCTGAGGGCAGAGCAAGAAGTAATGGATGAAAGCTTGTTAAAGAGAGATCTAACCTAGGACTAAGGAAAAATTTTCTGACAGCGAGAACAATTAATCAATGGAACAGCTTTTCTCCCAGAGTTCTGGCTACTCCATCGCTGGAGGTTTTCAAAAACAGACTAGGCAACCATTTGACCAGGATGGTCAAGAGCCATGCTGGCGCAGTGGTTAGAATGCAGTAGTGCAGGCTAATTCTGCTGACTGCCACCAGTTCGATTCTCATTGGCTCAAGATTGACTCAGCCTTCCATCCTTCCGAGGTCGGTAAAATGAGGACCCAGATTGTTAGGGGCAAAATGCTGATTCTGTAAACTGCTTAGAGAGGGCTGTAAAGCCCTGTGAAGCGGTATATAAATGTAAGTGTTATTGCTATTGCTATGGTATAAGGCAGTGATGGCGAACCTTTTAGAGATTGAGTGCCCAAACTGCAACCCCAAACCTCGTCGAGTGCCGGGTGGGTGTGGCCCATTGGGTGGGCGTGGCTGCGGTGGTAATGGCAGACTGGGTGGGACTAAAAAGTTCAATCAATCAATTCCAACTTTGCAAGATCTTTTTTTCCCCGCGAGAAGTTGAAATTGACTGACTGAACCTTTTTTTTTTTTTTTTTGCACATGGTGGCAGAGGCCTAAAGCAAAAAGGTTTTATAAAACCCAAAATGGGTTGGGTTTTTTTTGAACAATGAATTGCTCCACTTATTTTCACATCCATTTTCTATGCATCAGACAAAGTTCCCTTTTCGTCCCCCACTGGGAACCCCCCCGACTTTGTCAATAAGTATTCATTCTTTTTTTAAAAAAAAAATCAGTGCCATGAGGCAACAGATGCTAAAGCTTCTGAGTCAAACTCTGAAGAAAAATTATGCAGGAAAATAGCCAGGCAGAGAAAGTGTTTTGCTTCTTCTCTTGGTAATGGGAAGACCCAATTATAATCTTCTGTTCAGAAATTGCCTTTCACACATTTATCTAAGGATTTATTCAACTGTATCAGCCCCTGGAGCTAGAATTGGGGAAAAGTTTTCAATTTTGCTTCCCCCCCCCACACTTATTTATTTTAACTGTCAAGTTCTCATTATTCTACTTATGAAGAATTGTGAACTTTCTTTAGCAAAGTCTTACAAGTAAGGGAACCATTTCTAGTGGCCAAATTCATTAGGCAGAAGTGTTCTCCAGCATGGGAAGGACCATATTGTATGTATTAGACTGGAGAAGGTGGGGACCAAGCTTCCATGTCATTAACAAGCCAAACAAACCAGATTTTTTTCCCATTTTTTTTAAGAGTACAGCTATTCACTCTTTCCCTCAAATGGATGAATTTGTCTTTTTCTCCAAATTTAAATGCTGTGACTTTCCATTGCTTTCTATCCAGTTTGTTTACTTCTTATTAAAAAAAATATATCAAAATGATTACCGGCTTTACAGAATAACCATGTGGAAAATCACCTTGATGATTTTTATAAGGACCATGCCTATACACCGAGGTGCTTGGAATGCTATTACCTTCCCACCAAAGTGGTGCCTATTTATCTACTCGCATTTGTGTGCTTTCAAACTGTGAAGGTTGGCAGGAGCTAGAGCAAGGAACGGGAGCTCACCCCGTCCCACAGTGTTTGAGTCTTGAACTCAGGCTGCCAGCTTTCTGACCAGCTTAGCGTTTTTAACCGCTGAGCCACTGCCATTAACTAGACAGCAACATATAATGTGGGCATTCCTCCAAGTATCTCCAATTCCTAGTTGTAAGATCACAATTTTCATACCTGTGTCTGGTGTCTCTGTTTCTTGAATGGAGATTCACGCAGAGGCAAAAGAAAAAAAAAAGAGAGAAAGAAAAATGCAATAACATAAATGTATTAACAGGAAGGATGATAAATATTTATTTAGTCAAGTAACCTATTAGCCATCATTGCATCCTACTGAATCTACATAATAAATATAACTTTGTAATAAAATCTATTTTTTTTAAAAAAAGTTCCTAAAGAAACAGTAGGGTGAGCATTTAAGCACAAGAGCTAGTTTATTTCTGTGTATTGTGATTCACATTTACTGTATCTTGCTGAATACATGTACAAAAAGCGACATTATAATAACGAATGATTATTATGTTATTAGTAATTAAATCGGCAATAGAAGAATGGGATCACAGAGAATGAGATGGCTGGATGGAGTCACTGAAGCAGGAGGCGTGAGCTTAAATGGACTCCAGAAGATGGTAGAGGACAGGAAGACCTGGAGGAATGTTGTCCATGGGGTCGCGATGGGCCGGACACGACTTTGCAACTAACAACAAGTAATTAATCAGTGGAACAATTAACCAGTGGAAGAGTTTGCCCCCGGAAGTTGTTGGGATTCCATCGCTGGAGATTTTTAAGAAGAGATTGGACAGCCATTTTATCTGGAATGATATAGGGTCTCCTGCTTGTGCAGGGGTTGGACTAGAAGACCTGCAAGGTCCCTTCCAATTCTGTCATTCTGTAATTCCCGTTTCATTTATGTCACAGAACTAGTTCCTCTGTGTCCTTCCTCATTCTAATCTAACACTTTGAAGTCAATAGCTCTTGCTAGAAGTAAATACAGGAAAGTGGCAGACTTCTCCATCTTTTTTAAAAAAAAACTCCCCTCTCTTAAGCAGGAGTTCCTTCCAACTCTGTTATATTCTGTTAATAACCGAGCCAGCTAAATATATAAGCTGCCAAAGATGCCAAGTGTTTTGACATGTTTATTTTCTTAATGTAAGGTGTTTTGTTTTGTTTTTACTTTGGCAAAGAGGAAAGATGATACGACAGATACCTTATAGACCCTCTTGCTGAGTATTTTAATACGTCAGTCCTGTGATGTTTTTACCTTAGTTCCAGGATGCTAATAGAGTTTCCGGAAGGAAGAAGCCTTCGAACAAAATTGAAATCGCCAATGTATATGCTCCCGTCGGTGCCGGATGCGAGGGCGACAGGCGCAAAGAGTTTACTGCTGTGAGAAGGACCGTTGCAATTGGTGCAGGAGACACTCCTCTGGTGCCCGTTGCCCATGACTGTAGAGATGACGGCTGGCTGTTGTGAGATGAATATGTTCTCTCCATTGCCTTTATGGACAATCCCTGTGATTTACAAAACAAACACAGGTACACATGTGGACCCACCGTCACGATAGCCCCACTCTTTCTGCAGTATATACAGGTGGTCCTCAACTTACAACCACCACTGAGTCCAACATTTCTGTTGCTAAGCGAGATGGTTGTTAAAGCGACTCCAGTTGCCCCATTTCACAACCTTTCTTGACAGGCTTGTTAAGCGAATCCCTGCAGTTGTTGAGTCAGTAACACGGCTGTTAGGCGAATCCGACTTCCCCGTTGACATTGCTTGTTAGAGGGTCGCCAAAGGGGGATCATGTGACCCCCGGGATGCTGCAACCGTCCTAAATACCAGTCAGTTGCCAAGCCTCTGAATTCTGATCATGTGACCACAGAGAAGATCCAATGGTTGTAAGTGTGAAAAACGGTCATAAGCCACTTTTTTCAGTGCCGTTTAATTTTGAACGGTCACTGAATGACCTCTTTTAAGTTGAGGACTACCTGTATTAATAGTTTTTTTTAAAAAAAGCATAACTAAAGCAAGGGATATGAAAGACGGCCATTTGCATCAGAGCTCAAATTGGGGAGGGCTGACAAAAGTTGTTGTTTTGGCCTATATTTTGGGCCAATGAACAAGAAGAGCTCAGAAAGAGCTTTATGAGCATTCTTTTAAACACGAGTAAACCTCACGGTTGTGTATCTATCTGAGCAGCCAGGCTATCAGACGAATTTGTGTGGTCACAAATCAGTTTTTAAGAGGCCACAAAACTCATTGCGGTTTTATAACACAATTAAATAGTATCGCCTTGCTTATTTGCATGCTTATTCATTGGACTCGCGGCCCCACTTCCATCCTGTGACTTTTGGCAGTTTATAGAAAATAAAACACCCGTGCTATTACAATAAATGTAATTACAACAATAAAACACCCGGGTTTGCTTAAGCAATATATAGCTCTTCCTTAACTATTTTTAAAAAAAGCCCTCCAGGAAGGGCTCCATTTTAATTAGCTTCCAGAAAGTTCAAGGAATTTAGAAGGATGTGGCCGTGAAGAAATGAGCAGCGACTGTTAGTAAAACATGAACTTAACCTGGAAAAACAGGAAAGCAGGAGAAATAAACTTCCGATTGCCCTGTCTTGACTCTGATTGGCATAAGAGAAATGTTGCCAGGCTTTCAGGATTGTGTTATCACAGCTAATATCAATAGAATAGAGTTCTAGTGCAGCGGTTCTCAACCTGTGGGTCGCGACCCCTTTGGGGGTCGAACGACCCTTTCACAGGGGTCGCTTAAGACCATCGGAAAACACGTATTTCCGATGGTCTTAGGAACCGAGACACCGCTCCTCTATCCGTCTCCACACGGCTTCGAGCTGGGGGCCGTCGCAGCGCCAGATTCGTTTCCGTCGAGCATCTCCTAAGGGAGGCCGCGCTGCTTCGTGGCCCTTTCCACGGAGGAGGCTGAACTAAGCTTTGCCGGTGCTGTCGCCCTCTTGGCTCTCTCTCTCTCTCTCCCTCTCCCCGCCTGGGCGCTTCACCAACCAGGCTGGGCGGAGTCGGCGGAGCGGCCTTCCTGCCCCCCCTCCCTGGCCAGCTGGAGCCAGGCAGACCGGCGACCTTCGGAAGTGAGGCGAGGATAGGCGAGGTGCGCTGAGCCCTGGGCGTGGCGGGTGAGTGGGTGGCGTCGGTGCGCGCTTGGAGAGCCCTTAGGGTTGGGGGTCACCACAACATGAGGAACTGTATTAAAGGGTCGCGGCATTAGGAAGATTGAGAATCACTGTTCTAGTGTCTCATTTGGTGTCTATTACAAGCAGACCTAGTGGTGAAGACGCTCGCCTATAAAATATAGTATTTCTTCAGTTCCTGTGTTCTCTCTCTCTTGATCTGACCTATCTCAAAGGAGCCCAGAGACTTGTCCCTCTACAGTGTCATTTGAAGAGGAGGTGGAGGCTATCACCCTTCCCCATGGACTGAATCCATGAAGGTAATGTCTGAACAGGGTAAATTTCCAAATATATTGGATTATGCCCATCTAAGACTAGTTAGAAAAATCACCAGTTACTCTTTCTTCTTCTGCTTTTTAAATATCACTTAGCAAATAATCCTGAAAGTTGATAAAAAATTTTCTTTTCCCAAGGTATAAAGAATACCTATCTGGACTCTCCCTGTGCAGTTAATACAGTGGGGATATTGTGTGAAAAGAGCACTCGGGGCACCTGAAAGACTAATCAATCTTAAAAGAAAGGTGAGAACACATCGCTGTTCATAACAGAGGTAAATAGAGAGGTTTTCTGATTTTTTTTCTTCCAGAAAAGAACCGTAAGCTGCAGTATAAATTCAATATTCAGCCTGGAATGAAAGCTGACAGATGCGAATGAAAACCCCAACACCTCCAATACTGTATTTCTCTGTGAGATGAACAATTCTCTGATAGATTGTGCTCCCTTTTCACCAGTGAGTGAGAGAAGTGGATAACATTCTTTTTTTTTCTTTTTGAAAATACTGGATTTCTTGTTTTTATTGTTCAAAGACTTTATCTTCTAAGGTTGGAGTTCAGGATGGAAAGAATATTCCGGAAAATCCATTTTCTCACCATGAAAAATCTTCAGTATAACTAACTTTTCCAAGAGAGAAACATATTCTTATTTGTCATTGGTACTATTAATGGGCGGAAGAGGGAGGAGGAGGAGAAGGAGTAAGAGGAGGAGGAGGAGGAGGAGGATTGAGATTGTTGCGTATTAGGTGTGGTATGCTGGCTTGACAGCCGCGGATAGAAAGACACTACAGAGGGTGGTGAGCACAGCACAAAACATTGTGGGCTGCCCCCTGATACCACTAGACCAGGGGTAGGCAACCTTGGCTCTTTTATGACTCATGGACTTCAACTCCCAGAATTCCTGAGCCAGCATGAGGGAAAACTTTGGCCCCTTCATGACTTGTGGACTTCAACTCCCAGAATTCCTGAGCCAGCATGAGGGAAAACTTTGGCCCCTTCATGACTTGTGGACTTCAACTCCCAGAATTCCTGAGCCAGCACGGCTCAGCTTGGAAACTCTCCCTTTCCCCTCAGCATGGCTGACTCAGGAATTCTGGGAGTTGAAGTCCATGAGTCATAAAAGAGCCAAGGTTGCCTACCCCTGGTATAGGGTTTCCTGCCTGAGCAGGAGGTTGGACTAGATGATCTCCAAGGTCCCTTCTAACTTTATTACTACTACTACTACTACTACTACTACTACTACTACTACTACTATTATTATTATTATTATTATTATTATTATTATTATTATTATTATTATTATTATTATTATTACTGTGGCAGCTGCTGATTTGAAAAATACAGGCCCAAAATCCCAGTGAGAAGAAGTCCTCCATTTACTTCTAAACTTGTTAGAAGTTGTAGCTCTTCATGAGTGAAATAAAAAGTAAAGTTTCCCATTGAATGGCCCATATTAAAAAGCTTCTCCATCAAATAATGCCTGGAATCACAGGCTAAGTATGACTATGCTATCTACAGATAACACTTTCTTCCACTTTTCTTTTCATCGTTTCCCCCCTCTCTAATCCTATCCTCCCTGCCAAGCTCAAGAGGCCTGTATGACACGAAACTGCTTAGTCTTTAAAGAGCTCAAAAATTCTTCCCAAGAACGGTATATAAAAAAATCTTGACTTATATTGTTAGGATGTAGCTTTGCCTTCAGCTATTAGTGCATCCTTGCCCTTAAGAAGGATGGATGAACCATGCTTATTAGCTTTAGAGTTGTAAAGTGCCCTATTATTTCACCAGCAAGGTGCTTTATTTATTTATCCGAGCCATGCCCAGCTATTCTTTTCAACTACTGGTAACAGGGAGTAGCTTCAACTCCTTCAACAAGGAGTAGCTTCAACCCCCTTGAAACCCCAAGGGGTCTCCAGAGTAATACACCCATGGGTTTTGCAGGCTGTCGACAAGGGATGCATTCTATGTTCTACAGGCTTCTCACAATCATAGCTTTTCACTAAGACAGTCACCCCAGGCGGTTCCTTGTAAAAGAAGACACTGTAGGAACACTGATGAATTAGGATTATGAATGTCTCATGGGCACCTCCGAAAGTCTTGAAAAGACTACCTAGAAGTTCTGAAAACAGGGATACTTTCAAACTCCCAAGTTCTTTCTTAAGCACGTCAAGAGTTTGACTGCAGGAAACCTAAAACGCCAGCTGCTGTTTTGTAGCCTATCAATACATCGTCATCATTTGTCTTCATCGTATCTGGAAGTTACACGCCGGTTGGCACTTAATGTCAGACGTGAAGAACTAAACGCGGAAATAAAGTTTTCAACTTATGGATGAGTAACAAGGGAGGAGGTGTATATGCCTCTTGAAGTTTCTTCTAAATATATAAGAGGCTAGGTGCTTGGGTTAGAGTCCAGGGGTAGTCAACCTTGGCTCTTTTATGACTCGTGGACTTCAACTCCCAGAATTCCTGAGCCAGCACCTGGGTTAGACGGAGATCGCTTCCCTGACACTAAAATATCCACAGAAATGACTGGAACAGTTGGCTCTCCCCTATGGTAACATGAATATAAGCATTTCCATCGTTGTCTCAGCTGTAACAGCATATAATTAGGAGTCCCAAGAGCTGGCTTGGCTTGAAATATGTACTTAGGGGACAAAGATTTTGCTGACAAATGCCAATAAAACGGGGAAACTGGCGTTTGACACCAAAGAGGAATGAAACAAGCATTTTGCTTGAAAAATGCAAAAGCACTTTGCAGTATTTTCGAGACAGTTGGTTTCGACCTTCCCAAGTTGACATTTTTCAGGCGGGTTGTGTTAGACCTTTTATTATCTGCTTGTGAGTTGAGAATTATGAAAACAGTTATCTATCATAGCTAGAGGTAGTCAGAGGGGGCCAGGATAAATCCCTCTGTCTTTTCACCGAACAGCTTTGCTGCTGGAGCCAGATTTCAGTGTATCTCTTATTTAATGAAAGAAAGATTTATATACATCAGCAAGTACTGCGGGCCCAATTGGCAAAAGAAAGCTGGCATTGGATGGAAACGTGCAGAAGAGGCCTTCATCCTGCAGTGGATAGATGATGGCTAAAATGATGATGATGAAGTTTCTTTAAGATTCAAAGCCTAAGGCTTTGAGTCCTCCAGTTGTTTTGGACAGATGTTCTAGTAACCTCTGCTTGATGGGGTGCAAACTAAGGGGACTCTGCAGAGAATACAAAAACATTGCTTTATTTATGGTAACGGGGTTTAGTTATATCATTTAATTCCTCTTACTCATCTTATCCTAAACTTAAACTTATGTCTAGTTTAACGAAGAGAAGGACGAGGGAGGACATGATAGCAGTGTTCCAATATCTCAGGGGCTGCCCCAAAGGAGAGGGAGTCAAGCTGTTCTCCAAAGCACCTGAAGGCAGGACAAGAAGCAATGGGGGAAACTAATCAAGGAGAGAAGCAACCTAGAACTAAGGAGAAACTTCCTGACAGTTAGAACAATTAACCAGTGGAACAACCTGTCTCTAGAAGTTGCGAATGCTCCAACACTGGAAGTTTTTAAAAAGAGACTGGACAGCCATTTGTCTGAAATGGTATAGGGCTTCTTGCCTGAGCAGGGGGTTGGACTAGATGACCTCTAAGGTCTCTTCCAACTTTATTATTATTATTATTGTTGTTGTTGTTGTTGTTGTTGTTGTTATTATTATTATTATTATTATTATTATTATTATTATTATTATTATTATTATTATTATTATTATTATTATTATTATTATTATTATTATTATTATTATTATTATTATATTATTCTGTGCTTAAGATCTTCCTTACTACCAGAAAGGGACAACTTGAGTTGCACTCCTAGCTGCTGATGGAATGGTCACTCTAAGGTGTAGTCAGGATGTAGTTAAAGGCATGCTTTCTAAACTATGCAGGTTTGTTTACTTTCACTCTTCGTGGTAGTTTGCATATATAATATAAAATATAAAAATAGTTGAGGAGGGATATTGCAGAAAGTAGTAGAATTGTCTTTCTGAACTAATTTAAGTATGACTCACTTTCGGGAACTAAAAATGATGGGTTCAATTATTTTGCCTCATTTTTTTTCTCAGGCTTACACTATTCTGTAAGTGCTCACAGCAATATTTCAATCTTGCTCAGCAAATATTTAATTCCTTCCAGAAATGTGACATTCCTGTTACAAAAGGTAAGAAAAAACAGAGAGAGAGAGAGAGGGAAAAAAATTGCAAGAGTTACCTAACTAAAACACACTTTCAGGATATTGATAGCTATGTCCAAGGAAAGGTGAGATGTCGAAAAAGGTGAAATATCTAGAAGGAAATCAGGATCTGTGAAGAACGACTGGAAGAGTCAAGTATGTTCACCTGAAGACCAAATGATCAAAATTTGGGGCTGCCACAAAGAAGAGGGGGGGGGGTCAACTTATTTTGCAAAGCACCTGAAGGCAGGACAAGAAGCAATAGATGGAAACTAATTAAGGAGAGAAGCAACCTAGAACAGTGGTGGCGAACCTATGGCACACATGCCAGAGGCGGCACTCAGAGCCCTATCTGTTGGCACGCATACCACTGCCGCCAGCAGCAGGTCCATCAGGCCACCACCGCCGTCCGGAGCGGGAGCCTCACCAACCATTGTCGATTGGTGGACTGGAAGAAAAGGGAGGGGGAAGCATTTTACATATGTGCATGCATGCACGGGGTGCGAGCACGCACACGCTGCAAATGGGGCGGGACTAGCCTGCGTGATATTCACTAGCCCTGCCCCGTTCTTGCATGGTACGGCGCCTTGTATCTGCACCCTGCGGCACGGCGGCAGCCATTTTTGCGCCTTGCAACACGGTGGCCCATTTTTGCACCCCGGGTTTTTGCGTGGCAGAGGCGGCACTCAGAGGTGCCTCCCTGCCCCCCCTGAAGGCACCACAATGTTGATGCGGCCCTGGCACTTTGCGATAAATAAGTGGGTTTTGGGTTGCGGTTTGGGCACTCGGGTCTCTAAAAGGTTCGCCATCACTGGCCTAGAAATAAGGAGAAATTTCCTGACAGTGAGAACAAATAATCAGTGATACGGCTTTGCCTCCAGAAGTTGTGGGTGCTCCACAATTTGTAAGAAGAGATTGGACAACCATTTGTCTGAAATGGCACAGGGTCTTCTGCTTGAGCAGGGGGTTGGACTAGAAAACCTCCAAGGTCCCTTCCAACTCTCTGTTATTCTGACAAAATGAAAACAGTGTCTTCAAATATCGTAATTCCATAATAATTCCAATTTGACTTGCTGTTTCATGGAACCCAGAGATAGAAGTTATAAGAAACCTGTTTCAACTAATTTTTGAAAGAGTTTTTTTTTTCATCAATAAGGTTTGTTTCCTACTGCAGCAAATTCCTTGGGGACGTCCTGCGTGCTCCTTCCTGAAAATGCTGAAGCAAAAACTATACAGACATTCATCAAGGGGCAGATTCTGTAAATGGAAAACTTGGCTGGAGTAAAAGGCTTTTCCCAACACTATAATGCTAGGGCTCTCAAGATGAGATTAAATATCAAGATTTCAAAATATGCAGATGTACCTGTTTTCTATCGATTTTCACAGCTCATTTTCTATCGATTTTCACAGCTCATTGAAACCAGAGTGTAACATCAATCATAATTTAGCACAATCTATTTATAAACATTCCTAATTTCTATCTGGAGGGGGAATCCACTTCCCATGTGTGGCACAGATGTTAAAGCTTTAGAGCAGGACCAGAGAGAACCAGTTTCAAATTTGGGTAGTCAGTTTCTGTCAGACCAACTTAGCTCACAGTATAAGCTGCCCTGAGCTTCATAAAAGCTAACAAAACAAATTTTAAAAAGTATAAGTATTATACTCACCACTCTGTGTATTCAAAATATGGTGTTTGTCCAAGGACCAGCATCCTAGATTTGATGCATCCAACTCAAATCCTTGCAATGTTACAGTCCTTTTCTCCCATAGAATCAGATCAGCACAGCTCTCATATTCGTAACCCACCGAGACTATGGAGACATAAAATACAACAGATCATAGCTAATAGTTCATCAATTGCCTTGGGTAGGTCTAAGAGCAGTCAACTGGTAGTAGTAAAGTACCCCAGAAGAAAACCACCTTACAACATTAGTGTCTTTGTGTCTTTGATTTTGAATGTGGTAAAAAGATTCACCTTTCATCCATTCTTCTCGAGAAGGACCTGGTCTAGTAGCAATGGAGTCAGTGGTGGGATTCAGCCGGTTCGCACCACTTTGGCAGAACTGGTAGCTAATTTTTTTGTTGCCCAGGCCCAGAACGGACTTCTGGAAGCAGCATCCACGCAGAGAACCGGTTGTTCACATATCTGAATCCCACCACTGAATGGAGTAGAAGCCATCTTAGAAGGATGAGAAAGAGATCACATTTCACTAGTGTTGGCACTTCCAGGTTGAAAGGACTATAACCAGTGACATCACTGTTGCCTGGGGGATGCCCAGGTGGGGGCTCCTTTAATGTACCCAGCAGGAGCTGGAGCAAAGGACAGGAGCTCACCCTGCACCATGATAGCAGTTGGGTCTCAAACACAGGCTTGCTAACCTCCAACCCAGCAGCCCTAACCATGCGTGCCACTGCATTCTTATACGAGAAAGAGCTGCCAAGTTATTTAGGAATGTTAACTTCTGTGCCCTGTTGCTGCTAATCATGACACAAAGTCATGGTCTAGGAAGCCCTTTAAACTTTGATTCCCCACCACTATTCCTCTGCCCAAATAAGCACTGAAGACTTTGATTACAACCATGAAAACATGAAGGCCCCAGAACTGTGGAGAGCTCTATCCATTCTTCTTGAAGGATTATGGACTATCATGCTCTTCTGTTTTTCTTCAAAGTCAGTGTATACTATGCAATCTAGGCAAATGTTATATAGGTGGTCCCCAGCTTGGGATCACATTTGAGACCAGAATTTCCATGGCTAAGTATAGCATTTGTTAAGTGAGTGGTGCCTGATTTTATGACTTATTTTGCCAGGTTGTTAAGCAAACCATTGCAAATTAGGTGACTCACGTGGTCAGTAAGCAAATCTGGCTTCTCCCATTGACCTTTCCTTGTCAGGAGCCAGTGGGGAAGATTGCAGAAGGTGAACCCATGGCCCTGGTATGTTGCAACTGTCAAAAATACATGTACCTGAATTTTGTTCACGTGACCATGGGGATGCTTTGATGGTGATAATTTTTTGCACTCCATCACTGGAGATTTTTAAGAAGAGGCTAGACAGTCACTGGTCTGAGATGGTATAGGTTCTCCTGCTTGAGCAGGGGGCTGGACTAGAAGACCTCCAAGGTTCTACTCTACTCTACTCTACTCTACTCTACTCTACTCTATTCTGTATTTCTATTCTATTCTATTCTATTCTATTCTATTCTATTCTATTCTATTCTATTCTATTCTATTCTAAATAGTCAACTTCCTCCCATGCTGGGATTCCAAGGATATTGGCTGGTACCTCAGGGACACTGGATGTTCTCTGGGGAACTATCCATGACCCTAATGGCCTGCTGAGACAATTGGGTTAACTGTACATATGTTCCATCAAGACTATTCATATCAACAATAAATATGATGAACGATTGTAAGTCACATTTTTAATACTGTTGTAACTCTGAACCATTGCTCAACGAATGGTTGTAAGTTGGGGACTATCTGTATTTTTGTTTTTAAACTTACCAAACCTGGATCAGCAAGTATGTTCTAATTACAAACAAATAAAAAAAGGAAAACTATAATGTATAAGCCTAAATAAGGAATCTGCATTGCTGCTTAGTCTGAGTATTTGGTTGGTGATTACTTTCTTTTTAAAGAAATGAAAAAACAAACAAACACGAGCTAGGTAATCAGGTATTCAATCTATTCTATGACATTCTTATTAAGGGGGCTGAGATTAAACCTTGCAATTTAAAGATAACTCGGAGTAACTCTTTCAAACCTTAAAAGTCAACAGGGACAAGAGAAGCTATAAAACATGTCATAGTAACAACAGCAACAAGGAGGAAATAGCTTTTGCACTGCCAATTTTTCCTCTATTTCATTATCGTGACAAATACAGCCAATTCTTTGCCGCTGGAGCTGATTCCCTGATTCTCTGGGACGACCACCGGACTATCTGCTGAAAGCACAGAGGCTCAAGAGTATACGGGAAGGGGGGGAAAAAATCCCCCATCTAAAAGATATAATTGCTCTCTGCTGCTGGAGGGAAAAGCTCCGGTTGTAAATAAATAAAAAAAATGTTTCTTTGGGAGGCAGAGGTAGCAAATTTAAAAGGAAGAACTGTGCCGCACAGCGAGGCATTACAATAATGGAACAACCTTGGGTTTATGAAGAGAAATGAATACTTTCTGACTTGCCATGGCTCTCGGGGGGGGGGGGACTTAATCCAGAAGTCATTCTTCCGGATCATTTGGAAATCCTAAAGCAGTGATGGCGAACCTTTTAGAGACCGAGTGCCCAAACTGCAACCCAAAACCCACTTATGCATCGTCGGGTGCCGGGTGGGTGTGGCCCATTGACTGGATGTGGCCCATCACCGCCCTGAGTCCCGTAAGGGAGATAGGGCAGTATATAAATTCAATAAATAATAATAATAATAATAATAATAATAATAATAATAATAATAATAATAATAATAATAATAATAATAATAATAATAATAGGCTGGGTGTGGCCCATTGGGTGGGTGTGGCCCATTGGGTGGGCGTGGCTGTGATGGTAATGGCAGACTGGGTGGGACTAAAAAGTTCAATCAATCAATTCCAACTTTGCAAGATCTTTTTTTCCCCCATGAGAAGTTGAAATTGACTGATTGATTGAACCTTTTTTTTTTTGCACACGGCAGCGGAGGCCTAAAGCGAAAAGGTTTTATAAAACCCAGCTGAAGGCCTAGGACTGGGGCAACGGTACGCGTGCCCACAGAGAGGGCTCTGAGTGCCGCCTCTGGCACCCGTGCCATAGGTTCACCACCACTGTCCTAAAGGTTGAACTTTGGACATTTTATACTCAAACAGATGGCCTACGATGGGATTCCACGCCCACCTTCTGCTGAACAGAGAAGTTGTTTCAGTGGTATCCAGCAATCCTCTTAAGAGGGTAAATGATGCTATGAGGCTTCTTCCCTTGTTTTAGCCACCAATTTGTATCAGCTCTGAAATTGTCACAGCGGGGGCAAGGACTTTCACAGCATTGCTCCGGACAAAGGCAGAAAAGGATGCACGGATGAAAACTTCCATGCTCATCCAGAGGTTTCAGGATGCTGCCCAGTTGTTGCTTCTGGATTATAGGTGATTATAAGGGCAGGCTAAAAGAACAAATGGCCAGGTCATTCCCCAAGTCCATCGTACTTGGGGAAGGAGAGTTTCATGGTCACCAAAACTGCACAAAGTCACAAAGTAGGAGAAAATGAAAAAGCTAAGGCAGCTTGGGACTTTGGAATCTGAACAAATAAGCACCTGCCACATAAAAACCAGACTTAACAATTGTTGATAGGAAAGACAAAAAGTCTGCACAGTGGATGGTGCGGGCTTGGAAAAAGTAGGATAGAAGAGAAAGAACTGGAGAACAATCACAAAATACAAATACCTGCAATCAGAAGTAGAACATTATGTGGCAACCTAGACCAACAGTAATAGGTGCCTTGGGTGAAATCCCAGAACATCTGGAGCCCCACTTGAACACCCAACAGCATTGACAAAATCCCCATCAATCAATTGCAAAAGACAGCTTTATTGGGAACAGCCTACAACTTGCTACGATACCTTCAATACCATCAAACAACACCTGCCTATCCCAAGTCCTTGGGAAGGACTTGATGGGTGGACCAAAATGCTAAAATCCAGTCTAAGCATCTGGCTGACATTATGATCATAATGATTACATTTAACATGCATATAAATTAAACTTAAATTAAACCGATATGCCACCTGATTTCCAAGGAATCGGGGATGGATCACAACAATCAAACACAACCATAATTTAATTTATTTCATTTCTACAGCTGCCCACCTCAGCCCAGTGACAGTTTAAACAATTGAAAACAGTAGAGAAATAAATACATACAGCACCTGAGAAAATTATCATAATAATTGTATAGCCAAGAAATGGGGCCCTTAATACATTCAGGGCACCAGGTCTAGGCCCATAACCAGGTTTTTAAAACCTTATGAAAGGCCAGCAGGATTGGGACCACTCTAATCAAGGAAGGAAGGAAAGGAAGGAAGGAAGGAAGGAAGGAAGGAAGGAAGGATGCTCAAAAGGGCAGGGTCTACAGAAGAGAAGGCATGCCAACAACTGATTATTTAAATGAAGGAACTCAAAGCACATTAAGCCTTCAAGATCAAGTCGATTGGGTAGATAGTTTGGAACACAGCAGGTTCAATAGAATATATCTTTTTTTTTCTTTTAATGACTCTGTAATCCCTTGCACGGGGATGGAGTCGGGATGACTGAATGGACCTTGAATGTTTACTGGCTGGATGCCCTTCCTGATGCCTATGTGGAGTTCACAGCAGACAATTACTCATTGCGCCCAGAGAGAGAAATACTGTATCTCCTGCTACCTAGGATCAAACTTTCAGCCTCCTAAATGTAAAGCGGGAGCTCCATCACTATGTCACTCGATGCAAGCTATCTAACACATTGAGTGAAATGAGAAAGATTCATTTTGAGAGTTGGAGATAGGCTGTGTGAAGAACCGAAACTGGAACGTCTCATTTACAAAGTGCTTGGCGTGTTTATGATCCATAATCATTTCAGTTGTTGAGCTAGTAACACACTTGTTAAAGTGAATCAGGCTTCCCCACTGACTTTGCTTGTGAGAAGGTCGCAAAAGGTGTAACTTGTAACTTCAAACAGTCACTAAACAAATGACTGTAAGTCGAGGACCGTATTTACAACATTTTCAGTATTATTGTCTTCAAGAATATAGAAGCCTTTTCAGTCTCTTTCTCCCAATTTGGTATAGTTGATAGTGGCACAGCAGA